CCCGCGCGCGCGGGGGGGGGAGGGTACCGGCGGTGGCTTGGAAGGACCCTTCGGAAAGGTCCTTCCGAGACCACCGCCGGCATTCCCCTTCGGAAGGGGCATTTTCGACCAGCTCAGCGGGAGCCCCGCCGCTCACCTGGGGGAAAATGCCGGTGGTGGTTTTGGTAGGACCCTTCCGAAGGGTCCTTCCGAGGCCACCGCCGGCATTCCCCTTCGGAGGGGGCATTTTCGACCCAGGAGTCCGAGCATGGCTGGGAGACCGGGCGCGGCGTGGCTCCAAGCGGCGGCAGCGGCAGGGTGGGGGTGCAGGGCTTTCTCCAATGTCGGAGGGGGGCCCTTTGAGAGCTTGGAAGGCAAATGTCAGTGGTGGCTTCGGGGTCCTTCCGAGGCCGGCGCCGACATTTTCCCCCAGCTGAGCAGCGAGACTCCCGCTCAACTGGTCGAAAATGCCCCCTCCGAAGGGGAATGCCGGCGGTGGCTTCGGAAGGAAGGACCCTTCCGAAGGGTCCTTCCGAGGCCACCGCCGGCATTTTCCCCCAGCTGAGCGGCAGGGCTCCCGCTGAGCTGGGCGAAAATGCCCCTTCCGAAGGGGAATGCCGGCGGTGGCTTCGGAAGGAAGGACCCTTCGGAAGGGTCCTTCTGAGGCCACCGCCGGCATTTCCTCCCAGCTGATTGGCGGTAGCTTCGGAAGGACCGTGGGGGAGGGCTCCCCTGTGGTCCTTCGGAGGCTCCCGCCGGTCAGCTGGGGGGAAAATTGGGCTATGGGGAAAAGTCGCAAAGCGATTTTTCCCCATAGGCAACATCGCTATGCGATCGCAAAAAAACCATCGCTATGCGGATTCGTCGTTAAACGGGGCGCCCGTTAAGCAAGGCACCACTGTACTTACATTGAACCGTGGGGGAGGGCTCCCCTGTGGTCCTTCGGAGGCTCCCGCCGGTCAGCTGGGGGGAAAATTGGGCTATGGGGAAAAGTCGCAAAGCGATTTTTCCCCATAGGCAACATCGCTATGCGATCGCAAAAAAACCATCGCTATGCGGATTCGTCGTTAAACGGGGCGCCCGTTAAGCAAGGCACCACTGTACTTACATTGAATTTCTCATCATTAAGCAAGGCACCACTGTACTTACATTGCATTTCTCATTGAGTGCTATTTGCATGACTTGGTGAACCAACTGGAATACAAATATTGAACTGGCAGCAATTCAGGGACAACAGCTTTGTCCCTGTGCTACACCCCAGCAGAATATGCCAGTATTGACTGTTGGTTCTGATTTGCTGGAGGGAAGTTGAGGAGCATCAGACCATAGTGATGGTTGTGGTGCCTGTGAGAGCTGGATGGACACAGTAGTCTTGAGAGTGGCTGTCATGGAGGATGGTGTGGCTATGAAAGTTCATGGGATGAGCATGTGAGATGGGAAAATAATTGTGGTCACAAATAAAGGATGGTGCCAGAAATGAAGCCAGCAGTATGGTTTTGACGAACAGGTCAGGAACTACTCCTGTCCATCACAATGGAACCCTGATTCAGGAGCCAATGGCTGTACAGAAAAGGCAGGACTAGGGATATATAAGAGAATGGATGACAGAGTTTGGAGTTAGTGAGAGTCTGTGTTAGAGATGTCAGTTAGAGAGAAGCAATTTAGGCAGTTAGGACCAGCACAGAAAAATAGAGAGAGAGAG